CTTCCATTTTATTGATAGGGAGGAAACCAACCCTGAGATATAAAGTTGATTTCTCAAAGATAATGAGTTACTGATAACCAGTCACTTTGTGCAAAACAGTTACTACTAGTTCCACTTTTTTCTTTCTAAGCTCAAAGGAACATTTGTGTGTGGGAGAGGAAACCCAATCCTCCCAGATAGCAACTCCAGATTCTACTTCTCCTGGAGTACAGGAAAGACTGGTGATTCTAGGCCTGATAGTTCCAAGCCAATAACCCACCAGAGGCTGGCTTGCAAACGTTAGCCTCAAAGAGCTAGTCATGACACTTGTCGTTTAGTGTGACTTGGATGGTTTATGATCATGGGAAAAAGCCTACACTTTCACAGGACTTTTCTCACTGGAGCCCAGTAAGGTTGCCATCAAGGGAGAAGCTCAGGACTAGAGGCAAAGAGGAACCCAGACCTGAGTAACATCTGCAACCAGTTTCCCCCTTGTCCATGAGACTCTAGGCCAGTGGTTCTCAACCTTGACTGCACATTAGAATCACCTGGTAATCTTTTTAAAATCCTGATTTCTGGGCCTCATCCTCCAAAAATTCTGTTTCTTTGCTATGGGGTGGGGCCACACATTAGTAACAAAGAAACAGAATTTCCGGAGGATGAGGCCCAGAAATCAGGATTTTAAAAAGATTCCCAGGTGATTCTAATGTGCAGCCAAGGTTGAGAACCACTGCAAAGCACAATAGCTATCTTTTTCTTCATTGGACATAGAATTTATTCCTGATTAAGATAATTTACACTTGCTGTTCTCTCTGACTACAATGCTTTTCTCACAGGTCTTCCAATGTCTGCCTCTTTTCATCGTTCAGGTCTTAGTTCAAAGACACCTCTTTAGAGAAACCTATTTTGTCCTTTCTAATGTTATCCCCACCCATCACTCCCTATGTCCTCAGCCTAATTTATTTTACTTTAGAGCATTTCTATCAACTTGATGTTATATTTTATACTTATTGTGGCCAGCCGGCACGGCCATGGCATACTCAGCCCCACGTTGGGTGCCATGTGTGCCGAGCCAGCTCAGCCAGGTTTGGTGAGCCTGAGAGGGGGCGGTGAAGGATTGAGAAAAGACAGACAAGACAATAAAGCTGGGTCTGGGTGGGATGCTGTCCTCTCTGATGGAGAGCTAGCGACAGCACCATGGACTACAAGCCATGTCTTTATTTTATAGCCAGATTCCACAAGGCAAAGTAAGGGTGTGGTCAAGATGTTTACAACATTCTCATGGGTTTCTAATCTACTCAATTACGTGCACCTAAACTCTGTTAAGCCCACATCACTCAGTCAAATGGGACTACATGTTTGGACCATAGGTTCAAGCTTACAACCATAGCTTTTGGCTATAATTGTGCTGGGAGGGCTTTGCCCTCCAAGCTGGGACTTGCACATGGCCATGAGAAGACTGTGCCCTCTCATTAGTCTAAGGCTTGAACCTCTCCAAACACTGTGGCCACTCTCCAGAACTTAATACTTATATACTTATTTATATTACATTATGTATTTATTCTATACTTGTTGCTGTTTCTTTAGTTTTTATTTTTTTATTAAATTTATTGAGGTAACATTTTTATATATGTATTTATTTACTTATTTGGTTTATATAATATATTCATTTGTGCATTTTATAGATCCTTTTTGTTCATTTGTTCTATCCCGTGCCTAGAACAATGTTTGGGATATAACAGGTGCTCAATAAATATTAGTTGTGTGCATAAGCAAACAATAATTCTCCAACAGCAAAACAGAATTTGTCAAATATTAGTACACACTCTAGCTATGGCTTTTGGAAGTGTCTGGGGTTTGGGACAAGCAGACAAACTTGCTTTTACATTGGTATCTCTCAGCAACCAAACACCATGCTGTATACTTTCTTTTATACCCTTTTATTCATTCCACAAATGTTTATTGAGCACATAGAAGAAGGATATAGAAGAAAGCACCAGAACTATGTTCCAGTCTTTATTCTTCTGGATGACTTCAAAAATATTACCAAGAAAATATACAGAGTAATATCAAAGAAAGTTCTGAGCAGTCAGGACAATAACAGAGAGAGGTAGGATCCCCACAAGATATTAAAACCTTTCATAAAGTAACAATAATGTAAATGTGTTGGTGCTTATCCAAATATAGATCAATATAACATAAATATAAGTAATTATTATTATTGTATTAATAATAATTATTATTATTGCCTATATAATGAAGTGAGAAGTACACTAGTACACCAATAAGGGTGTGAAAATAATATTTCATTATTGGTATTAGAATAATCCTATATAAGAAAAGTCTAATATGCTAAGTGTCTGGTCATCCAGAGACCGGTCAACTGTTCAACCAATCAAAGTGTAATATGCTAGTGATATGCTAAGGCAGCTCAACTGATCGCTATGATGTACACTGACCACCAGGGGGCAGACAGTTGGCTGGTCAACCAGTCGCTATGACGTGCACTGACCACCAGGGGGCAGACACTCCAACCAGTAGGATGGGGACTGAGTGATATGGACCAGACATGCCCTGGAACCCTCCCACGGTCCCTCCTTGGCCCAATCATGCACTGGTGGGGTCCCTCAGCCTGGCCTGTACCCTCTCACAATTCAGGACCCCTCAAGGGATGTCGGAGAGCCAGTTTCAGCCTGATACCACAGGCCACTTCCCTCGGGAGGGTGCCAGATGCAGGGCTCATGGCTGGTGAGTGCTGCTGCAGCAGCACGAGACTCTCCCAGTTGGGACTGATTGGGTGTGAGCCCGAGGCAGGTGCAGTGGGGCCGGGATGAGTAGGAGCAGCAGGTCGGAGCTGCAGGCAGCATTGGACTGTGGGTTTCTGCCTATCCCGCAGGCCACCCAGAGGGGCCCCACCCATGCACGAGTTTGTGCACTGGGCCCCTAGTTATATAATAATTAGGAAAGGAAAATTTAGATTTACATCTTCTGGTGTATGCAAAAGTAAAGAATAAACAATAAAAACGCAATCATAACAAACTTTGAAAAAAGGGATTAGAATTTCTTTTAGATGTTCTTTGGGATAATTTTAACTTTCTCTTATTCAGGTGTTTATTTTTTTAATAGAGTATGACTTGATCTCTTTTTTAGTTTTTGAAAATTTACAAAGACAGCTCAATAAGATTTACTATATATTTAAAATGTTCTGTAAAGAGATAAGGAACAAAATAAAAAGTAAAGAATAAATAGTTAAGGAAATATGTACATAAAATATAATAGAAAAATATTAATACTTATATGTATAGGGGTATCAAGAATATACTAGCAAAATAAACTAAGAACATGAATATAATTCACCCAAGAGGACATGTAAAGAGTAAATAAACATATGGGGGAAATTTCAAAGTCACTAATAGTAAAGGAAATGTGAAGTGAAATAATAAATAGGAAGTATTTGACAGCTATGAAATCAGTCCATGATGGTTTGGTCCTTTTGGAAAGCAATTTGGCAATATGAATCAGAAGTAATCAAAATACTTATATTCTCTGACCTAGTGATTAGCTCCTGAGGGTCAATCCTAAGAGAAAAATTCAATAGAAAAAAAAACTATATGTATGAATTTTTGTTGTTGTTACTCCTCACCCGAGGATATTTTTCCATTGATCTTTTAGAGAAAGTGGAAGAGAGAGGGAATGACAGAGAGAAACATCAATGTGAGAGAAACACATCGATTGGTTGCCTCCTGCATGAGCCCTGACCAGGACCAGGGCCAGGAGGAGCCTGCAATCAAGGTATATGCCCTTGACCGGAATCAAACCCAGGGGCCTTTGGTTCGCAGGCCGATGCTCTTATCCACTGAGCCAAACCGCCTAGGGCATGAATTTTTTTTATAATAGTAAGACTAAAGAAAACATCTAAAACTCAACAATGGGGTAAAGGCTATATGCAAATTTAAAATGAAAATTGTGCAGAAACATGGAACTATATGTTAGAGGTGATTATTAAGGCACAGGAAAGCCAAGCTAGTTATTTAAGTTCACCAGACTCAGTAAGTGATAAAGGTGGGACTTGAACCCAAGCAATGCAGCAATCAGAATCTATGGGTGTTTTAGTCTGCTCAGTCTACCATAACAAAATACCATAGATAGGGTGGCTTAATCAACAGAAATTTCTTTTCTCACAATTCTAGAGGCTGGCTGAAAGTCAAAGAGCAAAGTTCTGGAACAGTTCATTTCTAGTGAGAACTCTCCTTCTGACTTGTAGACAGCTGCCTTCTCACTGTGTCCTCCCATAGTGGAGAGAAAGAATTCTCTGGTGACTCTTCCTCTTTTCCAAAGACACCAGTTCTATCAGATCAGGACTCCACCCTTATGACCTCATTTAGTCCTAATCACCTCCTTAAAGATCCTATCTGCAATACAGTCATATGGGGAATTAAGGCTTTCACATATGAATTGGGGCAGGGTGGTGGGGGGAGGAAACACAATTAAATCCATAGCATTCTGCCTCTGACCCCACAAAATTCATGTCCTCATTGCATTCATTTCATCCCAACAGTCCAAAAAGCCTTAATTCATTCCAGCATCACCCTTTAGTTTCATCTAAATATAATCTAAATCAGGTATGGGTAAGACAAGCTATTAGTTCATCGTGAGGAAAAATTCCTCTCTACCGTTGAACCTGTGAAACCAGACTAGTTAGGTGCTTTCAAAATACAATCTTGGGAAGGCATAGGGTAGACATGCCCATTCCACAAGGGATAAATAGGAAAGAAGAAAGGAGTGAAGAGTCCCAAGCAAGTCCAAGACATTGTAGGGCAAATTATATTACATGTTAAGGCTCAAGAATAATCTTTGACTAGATGCCTGCCTTCTGGGCCCACAGGGGTGGCAATCCCACCCCCAAGATTCCAGGCAGCTCTGTCCCCACAGCTCTGGTCAAGAGCCATGTGGCCCTTTGAAACTGAGGAGCCAGCCTCACTCTGAAACTGAGGAGACAGCCCTGATGATTTCTGAATTACCTTCAGAGTCATTCTTCCCTTTCTGAAAGAATAGTGCATGTTCACAGCTGAAGAACTCTATGGTCCTTCTCCATAGGATATAAGAAGTCTGGTGGTCTTCCTTTCATCTCAATTTTTCTGTCCTCTTTAGTCCCATCTGGCAGTGTTTCTGTTGGTATAAGCCCATCTCTATTCCCAGCTTCTGCTGAGATGACTGATCAAGTTTATGAGTCACACCCATGATCTCCTTTTCAAATATTGTCCAGCCACACCCTTAGTGTTCTCTTCAGAACAAGGTATCTATCTTTTTTTTCATTAAGGATAGGCTGAAAATTTTCCCAGTTCTGGTCCCTTAAATTCATCTCTCTCCTCTCACATTTTACTAAAAAAGTAAGGAGGTCCCAAGCTGCATCTTCAATACTTTTCTTAGAATTTTTTTTCTGCTAAATATCCAATTTCATCTCAAGTTCTACCTTTAACAAAACACTAATACACAATGAACAAAGTTCATTGCCACTTTGTAACAAGGATAGTGTTCCTACAGTTCCACAACCTGTTCTCATTTCTGTCTGAGCCCTCACAAGAATCACCTTACCATCCATATTTCTAGAATGTACATCAAAACTCTTCCAGCCTCAACCCATCATCTAATCCAAATCCACTTCCACATTTTTAGGTTGTTACATCAGTATCCTTCTTTTAGGAACCAAAATCTGTATTAATCAGAATTCTTCAGTGAGATAGATCCAACAGGATATATACAGGGTCTCACCAAAAAAATGTATACACACTTCAACAGCTGATAGCTCAATTTGAAAATGAAGATGTATCTGTAATAAACACTCGCCTTTGCTCAAGGTGTGTATATATTATTCTAAGTAGAATAAAAGCATTATGAGCGAATTAGAGCTGGGGACATCCTGCCAGATGACCATCCCAGATGAGACCACAGCCGTGAGGGAAGCCTGGGTGCTGGGTGCCAGAGGGAAGCCAGGTGCTGGCAGCCGAGGGAAGGAAAGCCTACTCTTGCACAAATTTCATGCATCAAGCCTCTAGTCCAGCGGTTCTCAACCTGTGGGTCGCAACCCTTTGGGGGTCGAATGACCCCTTTCACAGTGGTTGCCTAAATACATCCTGCATATCAGATATTTACATTACGATTCATAACAGTAGCAAAATTACAATTATGAAGTAGCAACGAAAATAATTTTATGGTTGGGGGTCACCACAACATGAGGAACTGTATTAAAGGGTCGCGGCATTAGGAAGGTTGAGAACCACTGCTCTAGTCTTATATAATAAAAGAGTAATATGCAAATCAACCGAACGGTGGAACAACCGGTCGCTATGACACACACTGACCACCAAGGGGCAGATGCTCAATGCAGGAGCTGCCCCCTGGTGGTTAGTGCACTCCAACCCACAAGCCAGGCTGATGGCTGGCAAGTGCAGTGGTGGTGACGGGAGCCTCTCCCGCCTCCGAGGCAGCGCTACTAAGGATGTTGGACTGTGGCTTAGGCTGGCTCCCCAAGGGAGTGATCAGTCAGACATCCCCCAAGGGCTCACTATTGCTAAAGGGTGCAGGCCAGGCTGAGGGACCCCCCCCCCCCCTGGAGTGCATGAATGTCGTGCACTGGGCCTCTAGTATACTAGTATATTTAAAATTATATATATATATATATATATATATATATAATTTTACATAGTTTATATTTTTATATAATACAATTTATTATAAGGAACTGCCTCACATGATTTTTGAGGCTGCTAAATCCCAAGATCTGTAGTTGATAACCTGGAGACCCAGGAGAACTTACTGTGTATTTCCAATCTGAGTCCTAAGGTCTGAGAACCAGGAGAGCTAATGGTGTAATTCTAGACTGAGAGCCAGCAGGATCAAACCTAAAAAGTGTTTATTTTTTCAATTTGAATCCAAAGGCAGGGAAAGACCTATGTCCCAGCTCAAATGCCAGGCAGGAGGAGTTTGTTCTCATTCATGGAAGGGTCAAATTCAGGCCTTCTCAAATTAGATGAGATATTAGATGAGGTCCACCCACATTAGGGAGGGCAATCTGCTTTACTAAATCTATTACTTCAAATGTTAATTTTAACCAGAAATACCCTCACAAACACACCCACAATAGTGTTTGATCAAATGTCTGGGCACCTTGTGGCCCAGTCAAATCAACACAAAATTAACCATTATAAAATTGACCGATTAACCATGAGTTTAACAATGGGCTTATTTTATCAGTGCCTGCCCTTCTTGACCCTCATTGGCCCTTTGTATAACTTTCTTAATTATTTTGCTGTTTACTTTTACTAAGTGTATTTTTCTGGATTCTAAAATTTATTAGGATTTGCATTAGAATTGACTTTGTCCAATTCAGTCTCCACACTACTGCCAGGGCAAACTTCTTCATGTACAAATCAGATAGCATTCCTCTCTTGATTAAAACATTTTGATAGTCTCCAAAGCTCTCTAAACTCTTCTGCAGGAATACTAGACTTTTCACAGTCTGACCCCTGCCAATCAATCTCTCCTCCTGCCCCACCTATCTAACTGTACTCTAGTCATCTTTAATAACTTGCAGTTCCCAAAAGTGTGTGATCTCCTTTTCTCCCATTCTTTTGCTCATGCTTATCCCTCTGCTTGGAATATTATATTGATCCTCCTGTGCCAGATAAACTCCTATACTTATTGCTGTCACCTTCTTTGTGAAGCTTTCCTTAACCCTGCAGACTAGCTTGGGGGCTTGTCTTTCTGTGTTCCACAGTTACATCTATTCTGACATTTTTCTCCTCTATATGAATATTTCCTTTTTTTAGTTGTCTGCCTTCCCTACTGAATTGCATATTCCTTGAGATCAGATACACAGTTTTAATACCCAATGCCCAGCATATACTAAGTGACTCATACATTTATTACTAATGAGTTGTGTAGCATGATGAAATGTATAAGAGTCATTGTATTATCAGGGGAGAGTATGAGACCAGACTTATAGTGTGCATGAGACGGCA